CTGAGTCGGGTTTCGGGTTCACGGAGGTTACGCTCTTGCCTTGCGATTGGCTTTTTTTCTGAGGCCTTGGATAACAGCTCTCACCCGGACAACAGCTCTCACCCGGATAACAGCTCTCACCCGGACAACAGCTCTCACCCGGATAACAGCTCTCACCCGGACAACAGCTCTCACCCGGATAACAGCTCTCACCCGGATAACAGCTCTCACCCGGATAACAGCTCTCACCCGGATAACAGCTCTCACCCGGACAACAGCTCTCACCCGGACAACAGCTCTCACCCGGATAACAGCGAAAAACATAGGACTTCAACTCTTTAGGCCATCTACCTCCGCCCTCAAATGGTAGACTCAGCCGTGTGAGAACCGGCCCATAATACGGCCCCGGCGCCATTAAATTGGAAATCACCCTTAAAGAGAATTTTAACTTCATCTGCTTCAGCTTCAACCCTGCCTCAATGTTCGCTTTCCTCAGCTGAGTTTCCTCAATCATTATAGGAGTCCATATACGAGCTTGGGTAGATATTTACAGAAACCAACAAGAATTTTGCAAAATTTCCTCAGAAATTTTATATTGTCACCAACATATGTGGTGACCACATTGTGGTCCACCATGTGCATGGAATCGTCGAGCACAACAGCGGAGCGAAGTATTCCACGAGCGGCTCAAACCGGTATATCAAACCGTCCAAGAAGTCATCCAGAAGCCTATAATGTTTTCGGGGGGGGGGGGGGAACTTATTTTGAATTCAATCAGTTTCTTATGTAAATGTCATCACCACATTAGGAACATTTTCCCCATTGTTATCAAACCCTGGGGGGGGTGGTAATCACTCGAAGATAAGTGGATCCCTGAGTCCACTAGCAAAAAGCCTGTTGGTCACTCTAAGATGGTTGGACCACAGTGTGCAGTAGTGCTAGAGCTGGCCTATTGCGACACTTACCATACATCACCTGTAACTAGCGCTCAACAAGTAGAGCTGATACCTTGAAACTAAGTGCATTGCATGCTTATGTGGTGATTCCGATGAGGAGTTTTCTCGAGTATGAGTTCGTGATCTTGTTCAGAACTCTAATACGGGGGAAACGACTCAGACAAAGCATTCGGAAAATTGAGCTCCCGGATCAGAATTTCCAACATTTGGAATTCTAGGGTTGGAGTATGAATATATGTAATCGCTTTCCTCAGCTACTGAGCTCAGGAGTTTCCTATACAGTGTTGGAGTATGAATATATGTAATCGCTTTCCTCGGCTACCGAGCTCAGGAGTTTCCTAGACAGTGTTGGAGTATGAATATATGTAATCGCTTTCCTCAGCTGCTGAGCTCAGGAGTTCCCTATACAGTGTTGGAGTAGGAATATATGTAATCGCTTTCCTCAGCTGCTGAGCTCAGGAGTTTCCTATACAGTGTTGGAGTATGAATATATGTAATCGCTTTCCTCAGCTGCTGAGCTCAGGAGTTTCCTATACAGTGTTGGAGTATGAATATATGAATATATGTAATCGCTTTCCTCAGCTACTGGGCTTGAGAGTTTCCTCACTAATTATTGAAAGTTAAATAATAACTATGAAACTAGAAATGTTTAGAAACCAACTGGAATTTTCCCAAAATTTCCTCAGAATTTTCATATTGTCACCGACGCACGTAGTTGACAATGAGCAAATTTTCCCACGCTGCTCTCCACGCATCTTGAGGTTGACCGCACAAGATACAGAATCGGTCCAATTGGAGCCTCTCTTCCTCCCCAATCAGTTGTCCTCTCTGTGAAACATGGCAGGTCAACCTCAAACTCCCTCACACCCCTACACTGGCGGCGCTCCGTCCATTTTCGATACCACTCCTCCCGGAGATACTCTCGATTACTCTACTCCCCCTCCACCTCCTCAACCAACGACGTGGTATCGTTATTGGAATGAACAGTATAATCGGTATTTTTTCTGGCAAGAAACCAACTCCATTTCTACATGGGATTTGCCACCCGATGGTGACACGGTTATCGATTATACTACTAAAGAGGTGGTCTCTGGTACGGATTCGGGGAGTTATGATGATACTACTGCTACTACTAGTAATATAAATCAAAGGCTACATTTCCCAATTTTTATTACATTTAGATTTACCGATTTTCCAACAACAACAACCAAGTGAGATCCGGAATAATAATAACCATTACTCCCGAGCTGACGAAGATAGTGACAGAAACATGTTCAACCGTCACGACCATTCAGCAACATCGTCGTCATCCTCAGCGGTAGCCGCAACAAGCAGCCTTTTTGGAGTGCATGCCAACTCCCCCGCCGTCCGCACAGATGATTTCGATATACTCACTGGAGGACGATCAGTCGATAGCATCATTCCAAGGAGTATGTTCCAAGAACAGGACCAGGGGTAGGTTGCCTCGACAAGCTTTTGGTTGGTGACGTTTTTTCGGCAACTCAAGGAATTTTCAAAGGTTATGCATTAAAGTTAAATTACTCGGGAGTAATCCATGATATCTATTTTTTCATGATTGAAAACTATACATATCGGGACTCAACGAATCGATTGCCCTGGGGGTGAAGCGACCGAAGTACACTTTTTATGGCATTTTCCACGACCTGTCTGCACTATTAATATTTCACAACCATCAGGACATACCCTACGGACCTATCCTGGTTAACGAATCAAGATCCGCAACTCGTGGAGAGGTCGGCATCATCAACATCCTACTCTCCAGTAGTGGCAGATCCCCTCTTCTCTACAGCGACGCGGAGTGCATTGCATGAGAGAGCTGCCGACTATGGCCTTGCTGGTCCAGGGTATCACCAGGTAGTGGCCACCTCTATGGGGTGTGGTGAACCTTCAGTGTAGTCTCGTCAGCCGACGATAAGTAATCATCGTCAACAGGCGTGTAATATTTTGGATAAAACAGTTCAAGAAGTAGCAAAAAGACGGTTGGGGCTTTTTTTTCATCGTTCAATCAGTGTCGGAGAATATATGTTTTTTTCTCTCGGTTGGTAACTCAAGTTTCCTCACTAATTATGAAAGTATACATTCAACGTTGGATAGAAATGCTCCGAAACCAACAAGAATTTCCTCAGA